ATAAATAACCACAAGATGTAAAGGCACCGAAATACTCATATGAAAATATAAATTCAATTCCAAAATGTAGCCGTATAGGCCAGCGATGTAAGACTACACATTGAATTAATCTAAATATCAAAATACATAAACAACCATTTGCTTGAATGACATTGCAAGCCTTGCAGGATTAATTGTGCAACGAGCGAGAGTCTCTCGAGTACAGTTAGATATAATCTAGCGCTTTAAGTCATTAATACATGATGAAAACATTAATACATGGGAAGATTTATGAGAGGTTTCAATCTAAATGGGTATAAATAACTTCCTCACACTGCTCTTTCTATGCTGTCCATGACGTAATGACATGACTGTGTTAGCAATTATGTCATGACTTGATATTATTATATTCTGAGAATACAAAAATTAAGAATGCCTTATTAAAAATAACCTTTGAAATTATCTCCCTTGAATTCTCGTAACGCCATGTGTATTCACCTTTTTTTAACAAATGCATAACGGCCCAATTTTTTTTCAAACTGAGGCTAGCTAAATGATAATTATTTGTGTGAAAACTAAGTCCATGTATATTTTATATTCTACAGTACGTACTATTCTCCAATTAATGTCTTTGTTTCCCTAATGAGCGCACAGGTGAAATATAAATACATTAGACTTTAATAATATCCTTGTAGAGTTCAAATGGTGGAAAGAGCAACATTTAATCTATAATGTCTGTATTTGATGGTTATAAAAATTATTTCCGACATATGACTCGATGTCTATTAAGACAGGATGGTAATAGGAAGAGTACAGTCGAATATACCTATTATATATTGGATATCATTGCTCAAAAATTGAATGGTCAATTTGAACTCCAGCAGTAATTTTTGGGTCATACGCCCCTCCCCCAACCATATAAAAGGATACTTTCACTTCCAAAATCTCGTTAAATGTTTTTAGGGGAGCACCCCCAATTGAATCCACACCACGACTAGTGCCCTCTAAAATCAGATAATCTAGATGGCCGCCCGCAAATGTAAACATCGCTACGATACTGAAAATATGATCCAACTATCATTCTATAGATACACATTTAGGGAATCTGTAAGCGAAGCCGAGTACATTTGGCCGATTTAACGGAATAAAAGGAGGATACGTGAATTCCTAAATCTATTCGTTTTAGGTTTTGGATTATTAGTTTGTATTTGGTTTTTCTCTAACGGATCCTATCTTTCAAATTATTCTAATTTCAGTTTTATCTCTTGTCTTGTCTTTTAAATTCTCTCGTGGAAACCATGTCTATAGATATTTAAAATGGGTTAGAGAAATGAAATGGAAGCCTTATCGCTGATATCCAATGCATTTTAAATACACTGGACACCATTCTTGTATCTGTTATACATTTCCTGCATAGTACATTAAGAGTTTATATCGATTACTGTGATTTTTTAGATCGAACACTCCCCCATTATTTATTGTGATAGTTATTCACATTCTGTATGTTAAGGTGTATTCATTCAGTCAAAATACGTCAGGAACTCGGCAAACCGATTAACTATTATCAACTCAAGTTATTAATCAGTTTAAAATGCACCATTCTGATAACTCTCGAGTCTTGAGTAATATATGCATACTTTAGATACGGATATTCTGCTCCTTTCTTTAATTTTAGCAACGTTTCAATACACATACATTCTTTATCAAGCATAATATATAATGATCGAAACGCATGCTGTTTGTTTGACTAAACATGAAACAAGATAACCCTGGTCTCCACGAGAACAAAAGATTGTGTTTTCCTTTACCTGAACAATTCCAGCACCTCTCTATCATGTAACATTTAAGCTTTGTATAAAATGCTTTCAGACCGAGTTTATGCAGTTATAAATTGAAGTTTCCACTGAATTAGACCTACATATTTAAGCTGATGTACGTCAATCAATCGTATTGTCTGTGACACAAGCTTTTATCATCGTCATACATTGAGGTTGATATGATGAGCGGGACAAATTGTTACTTTATTATCTTGAACATTGTGTCGTAGCTAGGAGACATTTTGCTTTAATGTCTAGTGCAATATAACGGCGTTAGTGACGGTATAACAATGTTGACTAAGAGTATGAACCAGGATTTTTATTATGTCCAATGTGTTATATAGTGTTTAGAAAAGACTTAACATTGAATGAAATAGAAAGTCTGATTCTGTGTTGGGGTTGCTTTTAAGTTTTTGATGCCGGTGATTTCTTTGAAGAATTTGATTTGATCTTCGAAATATATGACGTCATCAAACTCACAATTGCATATAAGTAACGATATATTGTTATTTAAAATTCTACAAAAGTGTTTGAAAAAATATTAGGTTTGGAAAGCTCCGCCTTATAAAAGATATGGAATCAGGCGTGGTAACACTAAACATACGGATGTAACCTCGATAACCAAAATGAGGAGCCTATATTTTGTGAACGTGAATTCTTCCCATGTTAGCACAATTATATGATCAGTAAGAGAGTGTTTTTTGGTTTAAGTCTGGGTTGTACTTGTCTGTTTTGGAAGTAAAGTACGTAAGTACTCTTTCCTTTTCAAATGGTTAAGATTGTCGTGTTGCTTGGGTTTTTATAAACTTTCATTGTGTCCATTGTCAAGTTGTCATTTTGTTGGTTCTTTTTTGTTCCTAAGGTGTTTGTGTTAGCGAAACTAAGTCGTCAGCCGGAAGAACATATTTATTGCTATACACACTACATTTTCGGAAAGAATATCCAACCAACCAGCGGAAGTGCAGATAGTCTATGCCTCAAGGCCATTATTCTTAATTTTATGGAAATGTCTCTTGCAGGTTGGCTCATAACGGAGTCGAGTCTTGTTCATCTGTATTTACTTTCCGTATCTAGGTACATAGGAAAATAACGAGTCGTGAGTTGAATAATACATAATGTATTTGTAATAAAGAATTGAATCCACATTCATCCCAGATCGGAGATTCATTATCTATTGTTCATCAAAGATTACTTGCCTAACCGCTGTACAAGGAAAATTCATTTATGTCACCGCCTAGTAGATTTGAAAACTTATGCAACTCTTGCACTCTTGAAATAGAGTTCAACTCGATAGCACTAAGTCTTAAGCTATTTGAATTGATTAATAGAAGATCACGCTTGCAAATCTTCAGTCATTACGAGTAAGTCTTTGTTAATAAAAAATATGCAAGGTGCTGGATTGAGATTTTGATTTAAATCTTAAGTTAATAAACGGGAAATCTTGTGAATGTAGGCTGAATAACGCTTCGGGAAACCGAATAAAAATACGTCATAGTTAATCATACACAAACAGAATGTCTTTCATTTTTAATTTGTAATCTTCAAACGAAGAAGATAAAAAGCATGTTTAAACGCCTACTAACATATTACTTAAACCATTGATTGATCTATGACGACAATTGAAATTCCTAAACAGTATGTTTATTAGTATTTCAAGTCTTTTCTGTTTTTCTAAGACGATAAAAATTCATCGAGCTTCATCTTTCATCAAATGATTTCGAAATATATTACTGTGCTTTAGAATCCATTTAATTTCCATTTTGTAATTTCGCTTTGATTTTTACCTATGGTTGCGCATTGGTGATACATCTCTAAAATTTGCGTAATTTTAAAATTTATTGGTTGGTATTGGTTTCCTGGACAGTATTCCATTATGTTTAGTATTTGAACAAGGGTTAGTTTTTTGCAAGAGCTATGGTGAATATGATTATTAGTTTTGTGGTCTAATGATAATTGAAGCAGTAAGCTTTACTTTCCGTGAGATTCAAAAGACGTTTTGTAGACTTAGTATGGTGTTTGGAAAGAAGTACTATTCCATTATGATGTCACAATAATAAATACTAGCAAAAATATTGCATTATGTTATTAAAATTGGTATATATTTCATTGTTTGGTGAGATTGCTGATATTTAGCATTGTTTATTCCATCAGTATTGTAGTGGACACCTATTACAGCTCTTGTTTAAATGAAATGAAATGAATGGAGTTTTACGTCCTACTTCAGCTCTTGTTTAAGACCATTAACAATTGCTTTTTGCTGGTATAACTACTTGGGTGTTCAAGTATTCTGTTTACCAGATGGTCATTGGTCAATGTTTTTTTCATATCATACCCAAAGATTCTTAGACGGGAAATTAGAATAGTGCAAGTAGAAATCATAAGGGCCTTCGATATTCGAATCTTTGTACATGTCTTCAGTAAAAATGCACCTAATTTCCTGTAAATCCACTTTGATGTTTCAAAATATCTTTTTCGCAAGAGGAACATTTCCCGAAGGAAATGCTGGTAATCTAATGGTGTTGATCTGTCAAGTTGAAGATCAGGTTAAGCTGAGATAAGCCATTTCTTAACCATTAGTGACCTTGCATAAAAACTGCTTTTACATGAACGTGAGGTTTACAATATTCATCTAAGTAGTAAGAAAAAATATCTTTGATAATTTCTTGTCACAGGAAGAAAAGTTTGCTGTTGTAATGTGCGTGTTCTTGAAATTTCTAGTACATTTGTATTTTACGTAGGCCGTTGTTACAGTTCCACTGAAAGGATGTTATTAAAACTATAAATATGTTGTAAAAGTATTCCAAGTTTCATTCTTTGAAAACAATTGTCATTTTTAAGATGTTCTATAGAATAATAGCGTGTAATGGAAGCTAATTATATACAGACTGGCTGTAAATTAAAATTGATGATGAAAGAAAGGAAGGTAGAAAAGACTCTGGATTGAAACTGTCATTTACACAAGTGAAGGGATTAGCGGAGCTGGAAATAGCGTGAAGTTAGAAAATACTACCACTTCGTCCTTATTGGACAGTGGTTTGACATAAAGATTTTAATTGCTCCGGACATTAACTTGGACCATCCGTGTTTGATATTTCCGTCATTAGTTCATGACATTAATATTAGTAAATTTGGAGTAAGAGGTAGTTAATTTATAATACAGTGACCGCTTAGTACATCGAATCTTACAGTGAATGTAAGACAGATATGTCAATGTTGGGTCGTACAGGAACTACAGTTCGTAAAAACCGGCGTCGATCATCCAGTAATTCCCGTTCTGGATCTGTATCACGAAGAGGATCTGCTCCAACTGTTCTTACACCCTCTCCAAATCCAAGTCAAGTAAACCTGACCGTAGACTCTATAAGTTTACCAAGATCCAGTATCTCCTCTGTTAAAAGTGTGGCTTTTTATTTGGGCACAGACCCACCAACTACGTCACGCGGAGAAAAATTACACATACAAAAGGTAAGGCACTTTGAATACATTTGTTGGACACAGTGCATGTGTAAGTAACTGATTTTATTTGGTACCGCTGTTATCTCTATTCCAGTGGCGTTTCTGTTCTGTTAGGTGGAGGTCGAATTATTTAAATAGAATTGACATGGCTCACACGCGTTTCTTTCCCGAAGTATAATTTTTATACGCCCACATTTCTTGTAGGCGCGATAGAATCTACAGTTTTTATCCGATCTTGATGAAACTTGGTATGCATGTATATACTTATGAGATCTCGGTCAAGTTCGAAATTGGTATTAATTGGATGACCGATTTCAGAGATATTGCCCTTGACTTATTAAAAACACGCCAAATTTGGCTTGCAGGCAAATAGAGACTACAGTTTTTATCTGATCTTGATGAAACTTGATATGCATGTATATACTGATGATATCTCAGCCTGTTCGAAATTGGTAATAATCGGATGAATGGTTTCGGAGTTATTGCTCTTGACTTAGAAAAAACGCGTCAAATTTTCCTTGTAGGCGCGATAGAAGCTACAGTTTTTATCCGATCTTCATGAAACTTGGTATGAATGTATGTATTAAATGAGATCTCGGTCAAGTTCGAAATTAGTAATAATCGGATGAACAGTTATTGCCCTTGACTTTAGGCACGATAGAGACTACAGTTTTTATCTAATCATAATGAAACTAGATATGCATGTATATATTGATGAGATCTCGGTCAAGTTCGAAATTGGTGATAATTGGACGACCGGTTTCAGAGTAATTCCCTTGTGAGTAGAGGTAATGAGACATTGTTTGAATTTGATGATAATTTGATTTACTGTTTCAGGTTTTTGCCTTGACTTATAGATGATATTAAGATTACTTGAAAATTCATTATTAATTCGCTAAGGATTTTGTTATCATTTCTGACAGCTGGTAGTGGGTGTATTTTACCTTGTCTGGCAAGCTATCCTTTTAACATGTGAAAGTGGTTAGGCGAAGGCTATTTCGGGGATGTCTCAGCTGGCTGTACTGTACTGTACTGAAGTTCAAGAGCCAATTCTGACATGGTGCAACGTCCATCCCCACCTTCTCACGCTCAGTTGATTCAATCAGCAGATGGTCTTGTTTTGTGATAAACCGGGTTGACCTTGATGTCCATATTAACTTGTGTAGAGCATAACAAAACGTGACAATTATTTGATTTGATTAGAAGCTGGTAAGAATCTGCTTCCTGTTTTATCTCTTTTTTTGAAATTACTTACATGTGGTTGAAATTTCCGAAGTTAAACAAAAGCGCTATTGATTTTACACAGTTTACGTTCTTACTTGATGTGAATAGCAACATCCGGCTTGGAAAAAATGCAACACAATTTCAATAGAAATAATGCACGTAACATACTAAGGTTATTAAACGTTTCTATGAGATCGTTGAACTACATTTTATAGCAAACCAGAAAATTGTCAAAGAGGGAATTATGATACAATGCAATTTTACTGCAATGCAACTCCTTTTCGATAAGGACCTTTTTTCCGAAGCTAATGTCCTATTGGTTACCTGGATTTCCGTCGCTCGTTTACATTTCTTGTATGTACAATGGAGATTACAGTTTTTATACAATCTTGATGATATTTTGTATACATGTATACGTTTATGAGATCTCGGTCAAGTTTAACTTTTGTAACAATCGGATGAACGGTTTTTGAGTTATTGCCCTTGAGTTAGTAGAAACGCGTCATGATAGAGACAACAGGTTTTATCTGATCTTAATGAAACTTGGTATGCATATATACAGTGATGAGATCTCGGTCAAATTTGAAATTGGTGTTACTCAGATAAACGGTTTCAGAATTATTGCCGTTGACTTAATAAACACGCGTCAACTGCTGGCTTACAGGAACTATAGGGACTACAGTTTTTTTTTATCTCATCTCGATGAAATTTGGTCGGCATGAATATATTGAGGTACGTTGATGAGACATTGTTCATGTTTGAAATTGGTTATGTTTTGAATGAACTGTTTTGAGGTTTTGCTTTGACTAAAAAATGTTTTTATGATCATTTGAAATTCATTATAAAGTGACCAAAGACTTAGTTAGCATTTCTGACAGCTGGTAGTGGGCATATGTTACCTTGCCTTTCAAGTTATCTTTACAATATTATTCTTTAAGTTACACAACTTTCTGATCGATGTATCTAACTTAAGACAGATATACATTTAGACATTCTTTTCTTATTGTTTATAAAGGATTTAACAATAATGCATAGAAATCAACAAAATGTCAAACTAACTTTTGTATTAAATAAGGTTGTTTCATGGCACACATTCAAATGAACCACAAATATACTTTGAAAAATGTCATGACCACGAATATGGCTTCCCACGAACATAATTGACAAAGCACTAAAATGATTTCAACCTATTTTGGTCTTTGAGTCCGTTTACGGTGTCGTAAATGTCACACCGTACGTCCTTTTTAATTGTCGTAGTGTATTAAGCAACAATATTCAGCAGACAGTGACGTATTTATCATTTATTATTTATTGTAACTATTTCTGATATATTGTATTCCTTGAGCCTTCTTGAACCATAATTATTTCACAAGTTTTTCATCAAATGTTTCTAATAATAAAGTAATGAGTCTTCGAGACATTTCTCTATTTGATGTATTGAAAAGGCATGGCACGTATTGTATTGGCATATAAGTTATGAAAAATGTACTTACGTCTTTAACGACTATTGTCTCGTTTTTTATAACCATAATGGCAAGGTGGGTGTCTTCCTTTTGTTCTGTTTACTTAATTTCTATAATAATCACCCAAATTACCCACTTAGCAACTGACAGTTGTTTATGGTTTGTAGCAAATACTAGAATTTCCTTTTGTTTAAGGTTGTTTTCTTGCCTGAGCAAAAGCTCGTTTCAGCTGCAGTTTTAATTCCCATAATGACCCTCAGTATTAAGCACAAATACATTAAACTTTTATAACTCAAGTCCCTCATATGGAAATGTTACAGTATACTTTGTATGTGTGTTAAGTCTGTTGTAAGGAGGTTTTCTAAATTTTGTTATGTGTATCGGACTGATAGCATTAATTTGCACCATTCCAATTTTCAATCAGACGTCTGTGGTTTCTGCAATTCTACTAAAACTGTGTTTGATGGCGCCATGAAGGTTCTTCTAGATTTTATAATCTCATTTAATTCAAACTGTTTCATATTTGCCTTTCGACGAGGTTGGCCTTAATGCAGTGTCTTTCTCTGAGTCTTAGTCTGAAGTTTATGGCTATGCAACACTATATACCCGTCATTCTTAGGTACATTACACTTCATATTATCAATGTTATGTCCACCTATACTTTATCGTTAACAAGGAAATAGAAATAGTAGAAGCTCGAGAAAGGAGGCGTATCAATACTCCAAATAGAGCTTCTGAAAATGGCCTTTATTTTTCTGATAGTTCGCGCTGGTACTCTCGGGGTAAAGTATGATCTTTCGACTGTTTTTATCATAAAATAGGCGAATTCGTGTGCTTTCAGTGCACAGCTTGATCAAATTAATACGGAATAGACATGTAGGAAGTAGACCTGTGCCTTATTAACTTATTCACATTTTATACACGACAAACTGCATGAAACTTGAATTCTAATAATCTAAGAAAAAATAATAGAAACCTAATCAAGCAACAAGAAGAAGACGTTTGTTTTCATGTCTGGTTCACGCATACTTTGTGTTAGTCTATCAAGCCTTTTCAAGGAGCAAGTAAACTAACTAGAACAGGTTTTGATTAATTTGTTAGAAATATGACAAAATATATTTATCTCTTCGCTCGAATAGGTAACGTAAATCCACACAGCTTTGTTGCAGCGTTGATAAATGAAGAAATCACATTAAAACATGTTGGTTTTACAATGTCTTGGGTCAGAAATGTCCTTAGTGAAAACATGAAATTAAGTACACCGAGGACCCTTTTAGTTTTGTCAGTGATATTTTTGTTTGTTTATATTTTAATGGTATATTTTAAACGGCATAAATCTCTCAAAGTTTATATTATTTGAAAGTCTTCCTTATATAACTGCATCTTCGATATCATTTAGTTTATTGTTCCGTACCATTTGTCACAAACGTCTTGTCTTTCTTGTATTATACTCCCATAAAATAGCTTCAATTACTTTCTTAATTGCTTTGATAAAACATCAATATACTTTATGCAATATTCATTATTAGAATTTCGATTCTTGAGATATTTTGTGTCATGTTTTTCTGTGGGTTATTGTGTTCGTCACGCATGATCTGACGAAGTTCTTTGCAGTCAATTTGTGATAATCTATGCATGTATACCCATGTCACCTGCATGTTTCTTTCTTGATTGTTTTGATAAAACATCAATATACTTTATGCAATATTCATTTTTAGAAATTAGATTATTGAATTATTTGGTGGGGTGTTTTTCTGTGGATTATGGTGTTCGTCATTCATGATCTGAAGTTCATCTACAATCGTCAAATAATTGATTACCTTTGCAAATATCTCACCTGTATGTTCTTTCTTGATTGATTTGATAAAACATCAATATACTTTATGCAATATTCATTATAACCATCTAGATTGTTGAGATATTTTGTGTTTTTCTGTGCATTATTGTGTTCGTCATGCATGAATCGGGTCAATTTTTTGTACAATCGCATAAAGTCATTTTTTTTTATAACCTCTGCATGTATACTCATGTCAACTTCATGTTGATAACTTCTATGACTTTATAATTGTTGGATGGATTGTTTGGTACCAAGTAACATTACATAATGACTAAGAATTAATTTCATAACAAAACACTATGTTCTTGTCATAATTGATCGATGTGGAATTACGGTACAAGTAATACCTTTATCAAGAAAGTAAGGGAGTACATTGAAGAACAGTTGACTGACTCTGTGGATCGTTAAAGGGGTAGGTTCGTTATTTTCGAGGGTTGATTTGGGTCTTGAATGTATATATATTTCTATACATGTCAAAAATGGCAGAGTCTTAAGAAAAGACGAGTCGTCTTTTTCTATTTCAAACGCTGATTATGCTGGACACACATGGATTTAAAAGAAGAAATTTCGACTGTGAACTGTTATTAACTGATTAGGTTATCTAAAGAATTGCCGTTTCGAAGACTAAGATACGATTGATCAAACGAATGGCGAATCTGTTACTTTAAGGTCAAAGTAGATATCAGGAAGTTATGTTGGAAAGTCACTTCTAGTAGTGATCAATGCCGGGTGGAAAAAAAGAATAGAACGCTCTGGATCAAAGGCCTCCGCATCATTGAGTTTGTATGAAACTCACTGAGGCGTAGTGACTTCCTTGATTGTTATTTTTGTAAAGTCTAACTTGATTTCGGTCCAAGAAGAAATATGATTAATACCTTGTAGTCTCAATCAATTTAATTATCTTATAGACTTGATTATGCCAGCATGCAATTGTATCGGGAATCTGTGACAGTTGAATAGAAGAATACAATAAGGGATGTGAAGATGTATAATATAGCCAAATTGAATTTATAGATTCTGATGTCTTGATCAATGAATGTCGTAATTAATGTTAAAGGTAGAGCTGAGACTAATTATTATTAATTTCCACCATGGCTATTCAAATCTTCAATAGGTAATATAGATGTCTGGTACATGATTTTTGACGTCAGCATTTCGAATGATAACGTTGGAGAATATTATGAACGGATAAACTTTAAGACTTAATCTGGTGGACAAGTTAAACATATAAATAGGTAATGGTGTCGAAAACACAAGTTGCAGAAAAGAGAGAATGTGTTTCTAGTGATGTGTTATCAAATCACAATATTGATATTTCCATTGTGATAACACATTGTATTACAACACATGCAGAACACTTCTCAGGCCTTGGAAGATGATTTATAATAAAACACATAAATGGTTAACGGTGTCAAAAACACAAGTTGCTGAACAAGAGAGAATGTGAAGTATTATCAAATCAGAATCTTTTTGTCAAAATATTGATGTTTCTAATGTGACGTAATATTAAAATTTATATAACAACACAAGAACAAAATAACAGTATCCTTTTATCAGGCCCTGGAAGATGATTTCATGCATATAAACAGGTAACGGTTTCAAAATCACAAGTAAATGTGTTTCTAGTGAAGTAATTCCAAATACAAGAATCTCATAACAAAATATTGATGTTTTCATTGTGGCGAAAATGCATTAAAAATTTATATATATCACATGCACAAATTAGTAGTATCTAACATTTCTGTAGCAACAGTCTTTATCTATTGGTAATTTTTCCGGACATTAATTGGTTTCGCATTATTTTTTCCAAAATTACTTGCGAATTTTATATTGATATATTTTGCAGTAAGGAATCGCTCTACAGAATCTAAATCTCTTACTAATTCCAATGACTTTTGATTTCCACTTGTTGACTGAGGTAGATTGTCTGTCAAGAACTTCAGTAAAAGTGATGTTACACAAACTGGGAATTTAAGATAAAAAAGTCACCAGATTAAGATTATGTCATGAACAAAGTTGATCTCTTCGGTTATAATCCTAAATCCCTTCCAATTCTTATTGATTTAGTCTGGTTTCATCTTCTAGCTCATCTTATAGCAACCTTTATTAAGTTGATATAGCAGGAATTTCATTAGTCCGAAACATCTGCCTCTACTCCAGCCGATGATGGAGCACCGACACCAAGCTTGTTTTTTTTTATACCAATTGTATTTTTTTTTACCCAAATTCAAATCTGATGCAACAATTTCAATATTCATATATTATATGTACCAACATATTCGCAAACATGCGTTGTTTGTTACTTTGGAGATCTGTTATTAAGCCACAAACGACTAAGTTTATCTCTCATGGTAATTTCTAGCCGTTCAGTTCACCTACTTGGACAAAGGCGCCATGGGTTATGACTTGGTCTGAGTCTCTGGATTATCATAATAGGACAAAATTTCAAGGTTATTAGACTTCGCCTAGGCAGTTGTTTTACCTGGTGAACATCGCAGGGGCCATTTGGGTTTCATTTAGACGTGTTACATAAGTATCAGTAGTGCAACACATTTATATGTGGGAAACTACGCATTGCTTCTTCACTGCACAGCTTTCATATAACTCTTTTGTTTCAATTTCGCTTAGTAGAGAGGTCAAATGGGCATTTTCAAAGAGGGGTATACGGGATCTTTGGCTCTTTGGGCCCGAGTCCACCTATTTGAGAAAAGATGACATTAGCTATACAGGGTTTCCCAGACTGTCCAGGGTTTCCCACAGTAAATGATTTCACCTTATGGAAAGAATATCGGCTTCTTAGATCAATGATAAGACGACTGATACAATACAAAATGTGGTCTACTCTTGATTTAGCCATTGCTCTTACGTTAGCCTCCTTAAAATCTTCGAAAAGAACTTAATTATGTGTATTGATGAGATGTGATGAAGTCTATTAACATCCTTCAGTATCGCTCTAATAGTCTCAAGTTTATATTTAAAGTGATTCTAGCGTGATCTAAAAACGCAATTCGCATTTCTTTAATGAGCATCAATTATGACTTGAGAGTTGTTCTCAGCTATATTTAGTCAAATGTGTCATTTCTCCAGGGAGTCACGAAACTAAAACAGTTTGCAATTGCTTTAATTCTAGTTATCGCTCATTGTTTAAAGTTTTATATGCCCATTAGGCTGTGGAGGAGAACATAAAATGAATTGAAACTATCTCAAACCTTCCGATTTCAGAACGTTTTTAAACTGTTCAAACGCTTGTTATAACATATCTGGAATTTATTTGTCGATAGTTATTCAGTCTTATCTTGACAATGGCTACCTGATCAAACTAAAAAAAAAAACACAATCTGTGTGCCTTAAGGAAAATCAGAATCGAAGGTCACATTTATCTATAGACAATGATATACAGACTTTTGCCCAAAAATAAAATAAAACTGTGTTGTTATAATTAATTCCTGTTATCATAATGTTATTATAGAATGCGATAACATCAGTGCTTCCAGATGAATAACTCGGATATTATACTGAAAGTAATTAAATACCTTTTACCACTATTAGTTCTACACCACACGAGTCTGGCTTGTACGTTGTCCAAACTGTGACATGTAGAAATTAACCTAATATTTCCTTTGTGGTGTCATATGCAGTGATGACATATAATGATTGCTAAATATACATTAGGTCAACCTAAATGTCTTTGGACAATTTTCAATGAAGATAAATAGTGAACTCTACTCCGAAGCATCTGCCTCTATTCCATCATCTGGTGGATACTTTGACAGTTGTCGACTAGAGAAGAGTACTAAAACATATACCCTGTTAATTGGAGATTTATCACACCTTTCAAGATGCGTTTTTTCTGACACAATATTGAATTACCTTTAGGATGACTGTGAATTAATGTTGGGCATCACCGTATCACAAAACACAATGATAAATGGTCAACCTTGCAGTATCTTACCTAACCTTTCACCCTATACCACTCACAGCCGTCACTACCTGTGGCTCATTTCTGAACGACTCACCTATTGGGCACTTCATTGGGAGCTGATCCATGGTGTGAGATAGCTGGGAGTGACTCTACCTCAAGCCATCCTTTGCATTTCAACCTATGTGCATATAGGTGTGTGCTGTATGTTTACATGTTTATGTATATGTCAATGGTGTATCACAATTAACCGCTCAGTGAAGGTTGGTTTAATGGGGTAAATGCACCAAACAACCAAAACTTTGGACTCTATATTTTCAAACTTTCGCATAGAGACCAATGATGGTATAACTGAACTGCAAAAATATTCTTCTTTGCAAATATATCTGGGTTTTGCAGATCCGGGATATCTAAATAGGCTTAAAACCCCCGCCCATTTTACAGGGCCTAGTTTTTCTGTCTCTAAACCAGCCAAACATCTGTTCAAATAGCTTTCAGAGGCTGAAATAGAAACAGATGTTTCGGTCTAAGAGAACTCGTATAATCTTTTTTCATTTGGATGACATTATAACTTATTGTATTGCTCAAAACTAAAAAGATGTATATCCTGGTTAAATTTACTAGAAATAAGATTCTAAAATCTACGATGCTTACGGCTTTTCTTACCATCTGTCACATATATTAAGGATTCTCAATCTTCTAAGTATTTCAGTAATATCACATCGTTTACATACAGATGTACAATATGTTTACATTTTATTGTATAAATACAACCCAGAAACTCATAACGTATTAACACATTGATCATAAAGCATGCATTATTCAACGTACATAATATGATTCATATAGGACTACTTTGTAATACCAAATACAATTCAAGGATATTCACACAAAACACTTAATGCCTTCAGCTTATTGACTATGTCACAGAACTTTGGAGAAAATAATCAATTAACCATCAAAACACCATTTACAAAAGACAAAATTCACAAATCGTCAAATTAAATAGTTTCACCATTATTTGGAATATAACCCTAACTGGGGACTGGTATTCTGAAAAGAAAATAGGCCTACTATACAGTTGGCGTTGTCAACACTTTGGTATTAATAAGGATGAATCCACTGTCTGTTTTTTTCTTACAAATCTGCCTTACTTCACCAGAAGTTACTCAAACGTTCAATCAACAGAAACAATATAATATCAAACTCTTATTTAATTGTGCTTTCATTTTGCTGTATTTCAGAACACATCGCCATTAGAGAAACAGTTTTATGATAGTACCGTAATATGGCCTGGTGTAGAAGAATGTGAACAGAACTATTCTCTTATGAACTCTATATGTGAAGCTGGTTCCGAATCATCAGGACTTTGTGAATTTTTATATCGTGCCTTTACCATCATTAGCACAACGTGTAAGTAGTCATAATATGGTATGATCTGGCACCATCAGTGCAATTTATGGATTAGAATTAACATTTGCATACACAATCGTGTACAACTACAGTTTTCGGAAATTCGTTGGTGAATTGAAATTTGACGAATTGTTAACAATGCGTAGAATTCGATTTACCAACAATACGCGAAGACAGTAGGTAGCAACTTGGAAAAACATTAAAATTTAAAAGCACATGGCGTCCAGAATGCCAACGAACTTCATATGTGAATATACCACCTGAAAAGAAGTCACGCACCAAACACAAACGCAAATAAGAAACTATCGAAGGCAGTGATTCTTTTCCCATATATATAAGCTTACTGAAATTACGATTCTGATACAAAACTTCGGTATGCAATATCTATTCGCATTATTCTAGTACTTCTATGCATAAATCCTAACGCGTTATTAATTAAATGTGCCAATTTACAAAATAGTATCAGACATCAAGGACACTCTAATGCAACATTTCCCAATCCATGCTATCAATTTTGTGAAATCTCAGTATTTGGCTTAATTGTGATCGACAAATTAGGGTAATTGCTATTGTAATTGATCCTATAAGCAACACAATATTGGATACTTACTGCTGATGGCTTCCGATAATTCTATACCAACAATTATTGAATAACTATTGCACGATTATATCAGCCAGATAAGAAGAATTTTTTTAGCATTACTTCATTGTACCTATACTCTATATGTATATAAATTAATTTTTCCAGGGCCAGTAACTGTTTTATTAGTGATCCTTCTAGCCTTACCCCTTGTTATGACATCTATTGGTAAGTAAGCTCACTGATCTATACAACAAACTACAATTAATTTCTATTTTACTCTTGTATTTTGTTATAAAAGCCTTTTACAAATTAGTATTTTAAGAGTTATGTCCCATGTAACAAATAGGTACCATTTAGCTTTTGTAAACACTACAGTAAGGAGTACGGCCCTTAATTCTTGTGAACTGACAGCTAGAAAAAGGTTCCAAAATAACTCGATGGTGGGTTAAGAGCCCTATATGAGACGGTTAGACCCTTTATACACCAGGGCTTTGTTCTATGTAAATGATTTCTAACCCCTTGTACCATTTACTTACCCTAGCAATTGTAATATATTTGGTTGCAGTTGCACAGCATTTGGATTTTATAAATCAAATTGATCTCGACCTCTTTTAGTGACCAGAATGTTTTCTCGCTGTTTACAATGTAAGATGTCGTCGAACTAACTTAGCAGGGATATAGTCTTGTAAATAGTTGCATTACCAGCATTTAGAGCTCAAATTCAGCTATTTAGAAATAAATCCAATGCAATGTTCTCCCGCGTTTCAACTTAAACTTATTGCGTCAATTTATAATGTCTATGTCGTTACTTCCAAGGCGTTACACCTCCTACGTGCATTCATTACCGAATTGAGAGCGGCATTGGTAATATTTGCATGACGTCTTTAAAACGGCTATATTTATTTAAAGTCTATTCGTAAAATTACAACTTTATTTTGATTGAATATTCCAGGTGTTAACTACCTCCACGACTGCCCTAAAGAACCTAAACTGCCCATATATCAAGTAGTTGGTGGAATATTTGGTATTATCAAAGTATTATTTTTATTGTGGAAACAAGTCAAGAAACATAAAGACGATGTTGGTGAGGTACACGACGAAGATGACCTTGGAACAATGATTCGAATGACCAACATAGCATTAAATGTGTTTCTAACTTTATGGTTTATATTTGGACATTATTGGTTGTTCAGTATCTGGAAACCACAATTTGAGGCGCCCCTTCACGAACCTAGAAATTGGTGTGATCATACTGTGTTCTTTTTTACTTTTTGGCAGATTGTGATCTGTCATACTATTATTGCCTGTTTATTGGTGGTTGTGATTATTTTATTCTACTGTTTCTGTTGTCTTAAATGTTTAATGGATGAAAATAAAAGCTGATATTCAACACTTATTACTGGGTGTTAGTAAATTGGTAAAGAGAAAACATGTCCGATCCGGTAAAAACAAAGTAGTAATGAGTTCGCATTATGGCCTATACCCTGGTTTCACAAAATGATAACTTGCCAAGCAAGGTAATATACCCCCACTGGCAGCTTTGATTTTAAATAAGAATATAAATTTTGGCAGTACAGTCTAGTAACCTAATTTCGTGCTAACCTATTTTTCGTGCATTTCCGGAAAGGATTAATAATGTACATGTGCGACCTCGCGTGACCTCCGCATTTGCTTATGGGTTTTCTGTACAATGTCAGCTAGTAGAATGAATCCAGTAGTTTTAAGCAAGGTAAAATGTATCAATGTATACTTTGACAAATACAAAATGGCGGATTTTAGTTATTACCAAACGTCAGCATTTTTTATAATCCCAAGCGGTAATCGGAATTTTAAGTGTCGTCTGCTAGAATGTAGTTCAACGAATGAAGTTACGTGCGAGTTGGTTGCTAATGAAATATGGGTCAAATGGTCAAATATAAATTCATAAAGAAAATCGAAACAAACCAATTTTAATTATTTTGTAGAATATCTGAGGAAACATCTATGACATAAATTTTTTTTTTTTTTTTTTTTAAATTTGACGAAATTCGGTGTTGAATCCTTATATGCACGAAAAAAGGTTACACCACTGTACAGTAACAATCACCAGTATGAACTTTTAGTTATAAATTTATTTCGACCTGGTTTTTTTCTTGTGATAATTTTGTCCAAATATTGTAAAAATTGTATCTACTAGAGTGCTTACGAGCTAAAAAATTGGAAACATTGTGAAGAATAATGCTAATAACTCATATAGCTGAAAATATTTTTCGGACGGACACAGTACTGGTGACGCCAATATACGCTCCACATTCCATGTAGGCGTATAAAATGTAGACAGTCATAATATTTCCTAAGAGCTGGTTTTAACACGTAAATATTCTCTTCTTACAAACACAGGAAACGGATCCTGATTTGAAAAGGTTCTAATTTTCTATTCATTTCTTTCTCAAGACACTCTGAGAATGTTGTCATTTTTGTTTAACATCGCCGGATGTGCATTAATATTTTTGTCTTTACTTCTTAGTATAGTCGTAAAACGACACGAACTTTCTGGGATGAAAACATATACGCAATAACATTCCTTTTTGAGGTCGATTCAGTGTCACAGATACTTCCCAGATACAAAAAGGGCTGATATTGTTTATGTTCGGAATCATACCTAGGTACTTCTCTTTGTTCAAATGTTATTGTTCTCTCATATTGCCAGGATGCACGAATGCTTTCACCCTTTTCCTACATAAGTTTACACCCAGGAACGAACACATAGGTAAAAATTATAAGAGGTACTAAAATCTCTCATCGTACATCAGTCTCACTCGAGGGCTAAGCGATCCGAATTATTGTAGTTTGAGGTGTTCCAAAAGTGTAAGCGAGTTGACGCCGATGTTCTTGTAAAATGTCGTTTCACGTTTGAATCAAACTATTCCCCTCAAATACAATAAGTAAAATCTTATCATATATTAGACAATTTATTTATGTGTACAGAATCTTTTTTATGTTATATATAGCATTCTTGTATAAAATATATTTACCTCAAAAATATCAATTTAAGATAACCTTAAACTATTAACAGAATAACAGAAAACAGAACAAATAATAACAAAAATACAGGTAATTATCAAAATATATATCACAGTCTATAGTATCCATTATCATTAGTATAAATTGAAAATTATAAAGATTATATAGTGAATTTAATAACACAATTTGGACGATTGTTTGAACTTGTCATTCTCAGAAAAAAAATCGACACTGAACAGATTGTGCCTATCACACGAATAAAATAATATTGATATAAAATCATTAAATTTCTCAAGCTCAAATCACTAAATGAAGACGATAAAAAAACAGCGTCAATTTTTTTAATATAACAAGAGAAATAACTCGATATATACAATATAAAGTCATGATTCGAAGGCCATTACTACATTTTATAATCTCCAATAGTAAGTAACAACACAACTTGAAATATGGTGAAGTTTGTAATTCGCCATGAAACAATTCATACAAGGTTATCACGCAAATAAATACATACTTAAAAAATTACATTAATGTTTGAATTTCTCTGGACTTTTTGAACGAGCTCGTGTCGAACGACTGCGACTTCGTGATTTCTTATCGTCAGCAAAACTAATGGATTTATTTGGGTTTCTGCCTCTACCTTTAGTTCTAAAATGAGATTGAGTTTTTTCACGAATGACGTATTCTCCAGTTTCTCTGGGCGAATCCTCACTTAGTTCAGTTGCTTCACGAAATAGCATGTTCTGTTTTTTCCTATGGGCCGGTTTGACAGGCGAATCATCATCCTTCTGACCATCTTGCACGGCACTAATTATTTGGTTTACCTGAAACGAAATAAATTAATAAATTCTGTACTGTAGAAGGCCATGGTTGTATAGATATTTTAGTGAGTGTGCTCGGTGTTCATCTACAATCGTTTTTGAGGTAATTTACGTAAATTGTATCAAAATTCAACACCATCAGCATATACCAACGGGAATACTTTGTAGGCTTTTAAATATGCAGCATGGAACAATAGTACAAGAAAATGTCAATACAAAAATCAACGCAGTCGCACATCTATAGATATTGGTAATTTTATGGATCACATATTTTTCTGCATGGACTGAAACAATTGCGTTTGCAAATTGTAATCTCTGGCACATGCGAATACAATATTTTGTAGAATATAAAGATAACAAATATAGAGATATTTGAAAATCTGTGATCAATAAAATTAACTATATCTAGTTTTAATCGATGAGGGAATACCACAAAATAAAGACACACAGGTTACATACCCAACGGAATAAAGCACCAACACCAGGACTAACAGAATACGCCTCAGCAGCTGTGTGATCTTCTATTATTTCTTGAGCTCTAGCAGCTATAGATGGGTCGATTTCGTCTGGATCTACCTCATGAAGTCGACTATGCAGACCGTATTTACCAGATACTACACATCTTTTCTGACACTTTTTCCATTTCTGCACAAAGAAAATGCGTCTGTGCTATTGATAAAGCAAATGTCAGACCCGTATGTTTCCAAAATATAATGTTTTCAAAATAGAAAACCGATTAAAAATAGTATCCTAGGAATGTGATATAATTGGGAAATACATATAACTCCGATAGCTATTGTATTATTCTAACCAATTCCAATGGAAAATCTACAGAAAAACGCCAAGACAATGTGATATAAATGGGAGATGACTCCAATAGTCATTCTCTTACCTTTGTATTTTTCTCTGGACAACCTATCAGAAGAAGCATGGCAACTACGATCTGATGGACGACCTCTGGCGGACGACTATAGCTTCTTATCTCAGCTAAAGTCTGAACATCAATAGTAGGCGAACGATTGTGATAATGTATGGTAGTTTTATCAGCAAGTTGTATTCGTGATCTTGCTTGAGACACTTCGTAAGGAATTTCACTGACATAACATTTGAATTCTATTTCTTCTAATGTCTTTTGTAATTTAGGCAGATTCCTGTTTTTCAAGTGAGTATTCAAATCTGGAAAAAAAATATTGTGCAAAGATAAAATAAAAATTCGAATGGTTACATAACATAGTGTGGATCTGTCGAGTGCAGGGGCAGCTTTTTCTGCTCTTTTCATTGCAAACGTGGATACATGAAGCTTAATGTCTGCACTGCGACGATTTGTTGCCATTGATTCGGTCCTAACGAAAAACGTCTCGTGCCAACACCTTAATATTTTACATCCCTACTTTTTCAAGCAATAATATGAAAATTTACCATCTCTTAAATTGATAACATCCAACATCCGTTCAGCTTGTATTAATTCTTTGGTTTTACGATTCTTCGTGGCTTTCCAATCATCTATAGCTCGAATTAGCTCCAATTTATCTTTTCTTCTTGTAGCTGCTCGTAATCGGTTCATGATCAATTGGGTCTTCATGGCTAGAAAAGGGTGATAAGTAAGATTAAACCACCTTTTTGTTGATCAACCTTGGTAATGTGATCTAATCGCGATAGATTTATGTTAATAAAAAGAATGTGTGTTTTCAGATCCACATTTTCAGTATGTGTTGATGTGAGATGCTCTCTCAATTTAGAACAAATTCTTCTCCTACACCAGTTGACCACACCCCTGACATCCTAGTCCCACATCCCCAGGGGGTGAAAACACCCCAGGTAGGGAACCGGGGATCTATGTCGATAAGATTTTTTAACAGCTGTCCGGTAAGGGAATTCATTTGCAATATTAGGACTAAAGATATTATAATAGCGTAATAAAAGTAAATCTTCAACAAGTAGCGTTTAACTTGTGTATACGAAGACTGTCGAGCATGTACTTCTACACAGGCACAAAGATAACTCGCGATGGGTCATTATCTACTGAACTTACCAGGATCACCAAAACCACATATCAAGACATACCTTTAATTTGTTTCTGGTCATGTTTCTTCTCATCCTCTTGTTTCTTCTTGAGCTCTTCAAACTCGACCATTCTTGTCTGAAAAAAGAAAATATATACAGCCATGGTCTAATTTTGTAAATTATCTTCTGATTCAAATGTATTCATGTATCCTTGCTTTATTTATCGGAACTTGGGAAAATCATTTACAAAATATTCTGTCTTTAAACTCAGGCTAGTTTTGGTTTTGAAAAGCGGGTTAGCCGATATTGAGACTTAAAGCGTGGAATTTGAAATATATAATCAAATAAGCTCTGACATGCTACCTTTACATTGCGCCAAAGAGAGGAAGAAGTTTGCCTGTGTTGTATTCTAGGGTATATAATTTGGAACTGTTAAAAAACATACCTCCCAACTATTATTAGAAACATCACTTCCCTCGTAATCCTTATCATTATCAACATCACTAGTTTCACTTTCAGATGTTTCTTCTTTCTTTGATGGATTAGTTGAGGAGCTATCAGACTTGGAGGAACTAGCAGATTTAGTTCTCCGTCTATGTGATTTGGGAGATTTAGCAATCTCGGTTTCAGATGAAGACGCAGCATCGGTAGCAGATGCTGATATGTCAGCTGATGACGCGTTGTCGTACTTTGACCTAGACTTGGATCGGTTCTTAGTCCTCTTATTTTTATCCTTACGACGTTCTGACTTGTCCCGTCTATCTTCCTTGTCTTTATCTGTATCTTCTTTCTCCTTATCTTTACCTCGCTTATCTTTATCTTGCTTGTCTTTATCTTTATTTCGTTTGTCCTTATCTTTCCTACGTCTTTCCTTATCTTTCTTAGAGGATCTCGATTTGGATTTATCCTTTCCGGATCTGCTATTGGTGGAGTCTTTTCGCTTTTTACTCTCTTCTAGGGATACCTCACGAACAACAGGTTCATCAAAGACTATATCTGAAATTCCGTCATCTAATTCATCTTCAGCCGGGGCTTCTTCCTCAATCTGAGGATCTACCCATTCACCTGTTTCTTTTAGATTTTGTACTCTTTGTATGGCAGACTGATAGTATTCCTTCTGAATGTTCTCCATCTCCGTCATCTCCTCTCTGGATACAACCTAGAAATATTTCAATAGCATTCATATTTAATAATGGATAATCGATAATTGGAAAGTCCAAGAGCATCTAGGAGCCCAACTTGAGATATAATTGAGTCACAGTTGGAAATAAAATGTATCGGCCTTATTCAACATTGATAAATGCAAAAATCACCTAAATCTTTCTGGTTTTGGTAAAAACAATATATTGGTTCATTGATATTTTCATTTAATTTTATTTTTGTTGTGAAAATAACAAATTAGATATATAGAATCTCTAAGCAAGGAAGCCTGATTGACAAGATAAGCATGTCCAGCTGTCATCCACCACAGCAATTCATTCAGTTCATTGACATTGACCATAGACTTGTGATTCAAGGCAAGGCAATCCGGCCAATCGGGTTTATCGTGTTTTGTTTGCATAAGTCAGAGTTTTCGGACTATTTAAATGGCGGCTGTATGGTAACTAAGGAGGAGGTCTGTTTGAGAATTAATTAAAGTCTCCCAATGCTTAATGAATAGTTAAATGAAGTTTATTTAGGTCAGAAGTTTCCTTTCTCGTTAGTTACTATAAACAATTCATCAAAATAGATCTGATCGATTTCTTGCAGACCGTAAACAATGCTATAATGGATTAATATAATCTAGTATAGTTGCAATATACTACAGTCAACTATGATATATGCGATTCATTATTAAGAAACGGTATTTCATATTTTACGTCAACAGATACGGAACAGATTCAGATAGTAGAGGAAAAGATTTCTGAAAAGTTATTTTACCAAGAAAGTCGTTCCAATCATTGTATTCGTGGCATTTACAAATTTCACCAAATCAAATATATTCAACATGTAATTTCTTTTAACTTCATATTCCCGATGGAAAAGGCGTTGGTGGCCACAATGAGCATAAGTTCAACTAAAGAGTTATTCATTTGGGCATTATATTCTTAATAATGACTCTTTTAAAAAGCTGGTATTTTAATGTAGTTCAAAAGCTGCAATTTGGTGAAAAGATGTCTAATATATCTTATGAGGTCAAAATATATATTGGCTTTAATACTTTATAAATAATCCTTAAGAGAAAAGTGTTATAGTATTTCTGGGCCACCAGATATATTGAAGTCTTTACAAATCTCATAAAGGTTAATCGAGTGGAAAAATATTTCATACATGTGCACAATAAGTATATATCAGGTGCATTTGTATTGTCATTCTCTATACGGTTAATACTTTAACTCTGTTTTATTAAAATATTGATATACAATAAACCAATAATCGTTTAATTAAATGTGACTACGCCCTTATCGTCCGTGTTATATAAAGTGTTTTATATCGGTATAAATTTTAATCAAAGTTAAGTTCAATAAACTTTTAGAAAAGAGTTTATGTAGTTATTATTATATGATATAATGTACGTTCATAAAGAGTGAATGTTAAAATGGGTGATCTGACCCAGTGCTTTCACTTGCCGATTACTCAATGTTGAGAAATGCCTAATATAATGGTCATAAAATGTCAAAACTGAAACAATTTTGGGGGAACTCAAATATTGCTATTTGTTTTCTAGTTCAGAAAGAAAATATTTTATTTTTCCTCAAACAATACGAAAATAATACGATTTCTCCAAAAGAAAATATCCAAGATTCTTATAAAGTCAAAAATTATCCGTTTTAGTATAAATAAGATCTGGAATAATTTTGTAAGTACCAAGATCGCAAAGCGTCGAATGTAAGGAGTTTTGTAATTGCTCTTAAGATAGTTTCTTTCAGATCACCTCAGTTGTAAATGTCAAAGTTCAAATAAGGATTGGCAACGCATAGTTTATGGCAGACACATAACGTATTATGTCATTAGAAAGTGGTATCAATAGAAGATATGGGTCGTTACTACAACAGAGTACAATAATCCCTGGTACATAGCCATTATGAGTTTTAGTGCACACAGTCGCGAAAAGAAACTGTCTAGCTGTACGACCCTCAGGGCTCGCCTTCGTGCACTAGTTAAAATATGACACAATGGCTATATGGTGAAGTGGTCCTATTGAAAAGTTACTAAGCTGAATAGTTGTCAATAGCTGGAATTGGGTTAATTATTGAAATGGCAAGTAAAAACCCCACAGGTCAAGGTGATCTGGAACTCATACTGCTCCAGATCTATGGCTTCCTGGATACACACGTATTGTCAAATATTTTGACGTAAACTAACATTCCATACTTTATTTTAAAGAAATCTGTTTAATGTTGGGAATTAACTGGCATTTTGCATCCTACTTTTCTGCAGATACGTAAACTAATTAATCCTGATAAAGCTGTGTAGTATGCCAGTTAAATAGGCCTTTTTTCCCAATTGTCTTCAGGCAACATACAGATCCTTAAATTTACACATCAACCCAGTGACCTTCATTAATAGGGAGATCGGGTTCAACTGATATTTGTATGAAAGGCCCCGAAAACATGGACGATGTGGGGAAATAAAACAGATTTAAACTTACCTTATATTGAAGTAAAGAGAACATAGACTTGGAACCATCCTCTATAGAAGCATACATTTTCATCAAGTTACCTTCCAAACCAGGTTCAATAGAGATATCGTTACCCCATAGACCATCCTCAGTCTTTTCTAGATGCTGCCAAGCGCTATTCCCAATCAAACTCACACGAATTGCGTCAGGAACGTCCACAACGAACTTGACAACAGTGCCAGCCACTAAATATACTTCCTTGGGAGAAAGGAGTCTGTAGTATGGAGTCCAACTTGCCAGAGATGTAGCATAAGGGAAGCACCTTTCACGGGGCCAATTACAAAATACCACAGAATTATAAACAGAGTTTACTTGGTCACCCTGGTCGGGTAATATTGCATACAGAGAAAACAGATAAATTCCTTGTTGAGGGAAGTTTAACCTAAATGTACCCATCAGACCAACCAGCGACCAGGTGGTATACTCATGCATGGCGGTTTCTTCATCACCACGACACAATTTAAATTCTGGAAGATAATGTACGTTAGGAGCTAAATTAATTTTTAGTTTCAGTTTCCCAGTTTCTGGACAATCCAAAATACACATTTTAGGACGAACATTTTCCATGTCAAGCTTTTTGAAAAATTTGTTTGTACCCACCAAGCCATCATCAATTTTTGGATAAGGCAAAAAGTCTTTTGGTACGTCCTTAATCGCACGAACAAGATATGTACAAACATTTACAAATACCCCTTCCTCCTCTTCGTTCCTGGCGAAAATTTTCAAAGCATAATCACCTTCTTTAGGAACACGGATATGAATGTACAAAATCTTATCCTCATATCGATGAATCACAAAATTGGATAATTCAGAAGAAGATATATCTCTATGAGTTAATGTATGTAGAATATCCAGAGGGGTTTTCATTTCGAACTCAACAACACCTTCACCATTTTCTATTATCACATCTCCACCAGGATGTGTCACTGGTTTTAATCCTATAATGTAACAGTCAGACCCCGGACCCCATTCTTCGCGGTCGTTTTCTGTGTATGGTTCAGAGTGGAAGGTCCGAGCACACTTAATGACATAACTTACGATACCACTGCTTTTTTCTGAGGTATCCCATCCGTTGCGTCCATTCACTTCCAACACGTACGTCCCTGCTTCTGGAACGTTCACTCTAACGGTAAAATATCCAGTTTTCATGTCACTTTCAAGATACACATAATCTCTTAGTTCCTTGGTACTTATATGTTTATGAGATTTTCCTTCAACCTTATAAAACCCACAAGCCAACTTTCTAATTTCGGATTCAGGAGACCTAAACAGATATTGAGCTTTGCCTTGCTTTGCCTCTGTAATAGATTCATACTTCTCTACCTCTTCAAATCCAAGAATAAAATAATGTGGCTTGATGAAAGGCAGATATGTGAATTCCGCATACGAAACTGGGCGAGGTAAAAGCTGGTAATTCTCTTCGTCGGGTAAATTCGAAAACACGAACTGCTCTGGATCCGTTAGGAAGTAGAAGTCTAAAATATCATTTATGGGAGACTTTTTGCTTCCAAACATCGATTCAGAACTGCTCTCAGAGTGCAGTGCCATACCTAGATTCTCCTTACTATCTTTATAGATAGCTGCTGCCTTGGCGACATCTACCAACCTCCATGACTGTTGGATCACGACCGTTGACCAGGCGGTAGTTGTCGTCTCGGTAACAACGTTTGATGGTTGTTCTATATATTCTCTTGAAATACCCTCTATAGTTTTACATTCAATTCCAGCAACTCTGAAATATGTGATAAGAATTCTAATAACAATTGGGTTATTTTCCAAAGAACCAATGGTCAACGCTATGACGCATGGACTTTATGATTTAAGTCGTTGCGATGAAGTCCATCGTGTATAAAGCTACAAGGATATTTGAATCTGATGGCTGTCGCATAACGACATTAAAGGGATTGTAAAGAGGTTTTCTAAACTTTTTAAGTGTATCAGGGACACTGAAAGCATCACTTTGAACCATTCCAATTTTCATTCCGATTTCTGTGGTTCTTGCAATTCCACTCAAACTAGCGTTTTATGACGTCACTAGAGGGGAGCTGCCGGAAGCAACTATCAATATAATATGCGTCAAGTGGCGTCATAAAACGCATTTAATGTCGTTATGTGACAGCCTTCAGATTCAAATATCCATGTAGAGGATAGCACATATCAACAAGGATTACACACAGCCAATAAATATTCTAATTGGAAACATTAATATTATTAAAAGATTTGAAAAAGTAGTTTTGTTTTGGAGAGAGTTTGGGCATATAATCACCTACTTGCACATCTTCTGGAAAAGCTCAGCGTGTGATATTTCGTCATCTTTTATATTCTGAAGAAATTCTTCTACATTATACTGAGTTTCATCTTGATCATCATCCGTAGCTGAATCATCACTTTCTAAATCAACAGCATCTAAATCAGTGGTAACTAACCACACGAATATAGCTCGAACTCTCTCTATACGGCTGCTTCCGGCTGGTTTTATTAGGAACCTCGTCATTTCTGCTAAAGATTTATCCATCATTTTCTTTGGAACCTGAAATCAAAAGAATGATTTGGAATTTTGACACTGAACAATAGAAGTGGTAATTAATGGTAAATCACTAGAAATGCTATCTTGGCGGGTGATGTTACTAGATAGAAAATGCTTTTTTGTGGGCACCGTGTTTAGTCTAGGATGATTACCGGTTTTATATATCGTCAGCGTGTGAATATTGACTTGTAATGTGAAGGATTTCGAAGATCAGAACGCAACGTTGATGGTGTAGGTTTAAGGGAAGGCACTATATACCAGATTAAATCGATTAAACCTTCATTATCCAGGAGATATCTCAGACATATAAAGATTTTATATTTCACTGTTGTAATATAATTGTTGGAATTACATTTCAACGAACGTCGATCATATATAATTTCACATAAACAATATTAGTTACGTTTACTGGTTGATACGCCCCGTCGCAGAGTGTCATCATGGTGTACTGGAAGTCTGAGGTAACGTCCAGCGTTATCTGCCAACCCGTTTCGGAGTACGTAATAGAGCTTAGACTTAGAATACCGTCATTTCTTGGTGTTATTTACTTTCACTTCATCAATAGTTAAAGAAATAGGAAAAGATTGGTAAAAAGATAGCATTGGCGTATATACGTAAATCATTAATAATTCAACTTGAAACTGAATAGCAAAGCGACCTTTTCTTTTCCATTTTGTTTCTGGATGTTCTTCTTTAGGATATATTTTTCAGTCGCAAGAGCAGACCTTGAACTCAAAGGGGTTATATGAATATAAGTACATTATCAATTTCATTTTTAAGTGTATTTAATGCATTTTCTTCATCTGTCATGGGGTTCAGAAAGGCATCCTAAAGCTTCAAATTATACAAGAACCTTTAAACGCGAACATCATCCAAACCCCTTCAAAATCTTTTTGAAATATAGGTCAAGATGCTTCGTCAAATGTTTTTTTTATGTATAAAAATCGGAGAAATTACGAAACGGAACATCAAGATTTGAATTTCAATCAGACCGCTCGATATTAGTGATTACGGAGTTTTTGCATCATCATCATCATTATTAATATGCTCTTTGTTAGATTTATTGTATTCATTTCCCAAGCGTATTGTGATAAATATCTATATAATAATAATTATTCTCGCTTCACTGCGTTTATTGATTGAATGGTGTCATTATATGTAAACTGTTGTTACAAACGAAACAAGTCTACTTAAAATTTCATATTGTAAAATTCGAAACAGCCTTGAATTGAAATGCATATAAAGTGGAAATGGAATTACACGATCAAATAATGATACGATCAAATCTTTATCGGAGATTAAAAGGCATCATTAAACTGGCAAACAGAACAATTTCTAATTTATTGCCTTACTTAGCGTAAGAAATGTGACCCAAATAGTCATCTCTTTAGTATATAAGCAACTAAATAATTTCCAACAAATATTATGAAATCAAGCCAAAATTTAGTTACGACTAATATTTCAACCGTTCTACCAGCTAACACTAAAAATTGATAAACAAATCACATGGAAACATGCTGTCCTGGTTCCAAAAATATTACATAAAATATTTTTCTTGCAAATCATTTATGTGTTTTATTATGGGTTTTGATGTTTTGATTGAATACAGTGTATCTTCAAAATATTTTTACATCGTAAATTTTGGGATATCGTCGTAAACATGACAAAGTAATTTCGATTGACCCATAAAGGTACCATGACCCTGTCTAACGTGGTTATCGTCCTATAAATAATTGGATAAATATAAAGGTCTGTTTACTTACCCTACTGGCATGCAAGTCTATGGTTGTAAAATCCAACGATTTTAATAATTCAGCTTTCTTGGTGGTCGGTGGGCTAGGAATTACAATGTTGTTCTCATCTTTGGGTATAGCAATACCCATATCCAAATACTCCTTAAACGTTTTCTCAAAAAGAGTTACTGAAGGTATCTCCCGTAGGTAACCACTTCTGTCCATTCTCATGGATAGACGGTTGTAAAAATCATCAGCATCCTTCACAGGATCGGTCGAACTAATACGAACTCGTTTTTCTGGGCTAATTCTGGACCCACCTTGTCCTTCTTCATCGGTACCAGAGACTGCTTCTCCACGTTCATCAATGATGATGTCACCCTGCTCTTTATCACTGGTTTCCACAGAATGGGTCCTGGTAACACCATTAGATAGTGTCTCTGAGGGCTCTTTTGATGAACGATTTGAATGCTTGCCCGCATCTCCATTGGCCTGAGCTGCAGGATATCTCACACCGGTTATAACTCTATTAGGTGCGGCTTGTGATTCTATGCTTTTCTTACGTTGATGTGCTTTATCTTGTGATGTTCTATACAAATACTCCATTTGGACTATATCTGTGGAATACTTCCGTTCTCTGGAAATTTTACGATTGTTATCTTTATTCTCCTGCAACTCCATTGCACTTACGTTGGTTCCCATTTTTCTGTTATTCTTTGGCTGTGCTGTTGTTTTTTTCGTTGTATTTGAATCCTTGCTTTGTTTGCGTCCCTCCACTTTCTTGGTTGACGTCTTGGCCGACGCAGAGTTTTTAAAATCGTTCTCTGGCTTTTTGCTTTTGTTTCTTTCCTTTTTCGGTCCTTTACTTACACCAACATATTTGTTTTCTTTTGCGACCGAATTTTCACCATTCTCGGTTTTTACAGCTTTTGTCTTTGGTGGTCCCAAATTTTCCTCACTTGCTTTATCTGTGACCTTACTTTCCGGTTCCTTGATCTGATCCTTTGTTTTCTCTGGTTGCTCGGTATCTATGACATTCTCGTCGTTTTTGACCGGGCTATCTTTATGCCGAAGTAAAGGTGTAGACGTTTGATTGTCTGGAAGTGTAAATGGAATGGAATCGGAATCGTATTCGGACGTATTCGAAATAATGATTGACACTTCACTTTCTGGACATAATGAAGACTGCGTTGTGTCCTTGGTATGAGTCTTCAAGATTCCATTTGGTACTCTCTGAAAAAGATAAATACAGAAACTATAGAATTGGGTATATAGGAACTGCAATTTAAAATTAGTACCGATAAACTCCACCATCTACTGCTTCATTTGTACCCCTAAATCTCGCTGTTCTTGTATCAGTGAACCTTCCACCTCACCAAGTTCTGTTGAGTAGTCATCATATCGTGTCAAGTAAATAGACAAATAAATTCCAATAGGGTCACGTACTTGACATGATTTGGACATATCGCCAGATCTTCGAAAATGTCTGTTTTTAGACGGCATGGTTAAGCTTTATCTAATAGATCGACCATAAGGCGTTTTTCACTAATCAGATATTTGTTATAGCTACCAATCTTTAATACGTGTATAAATGAATGGTATATTGTACTAAAATGCAGGGTCGATCCTTTTTTCGCTAAAAAATTTCACATGTAGATTCACAAAAAAATCTAGTAGTTCAGAGGTTCAAAGTTAAATGGGGTATAGTATGATATATGCAGTATGGTATGTCCATTATTATACCACTTCGTACATTAAAATGTCGTACTGACCCATTGTCTTGAGAAATATCTTAGAGACGGTCAGTCAACAAAAAATGAATAATACCTCTCATTCATTGAAATGTAATTAGATTTAACCTTTTTCATAAGGTATTGGAAACGTTTCTTTGTTGTGTTTCTATACCACCTCTTTGTAAGAGCTTATTTATTAATACCACACAATATGTAAAAGAAAGGTCTGTTAGCACACCCTTAAACGCCCTTACACATGCTAAGACAAACAAGAAATATTTAAGAATTTGAAGATGCAATTAAATTAACCAACAACGTGACATATAAGCATTGGGTGGTTCCAAGTGTAATAAGTTAACGTAAACAAATTGACAATTGACCATCTGATTTTTTAATTTTAGATTGTAACACCTATCCACACCCCCAACCAAGTCTTTTTGTGATTTTAAGCTACAAAATCCTGACATGTAAGGACAAAAGAGCAATGTTCGAAATATGAAAAATTTGTTTTTTCTTATGTACAATTTTTCACACTGAATCCAGAGCTTGAATAAACCAATTTTCCATATTGATAGATTTTTCATGTGAACCAAAATTGAAAACTCCATTCATAATACATTATATTACTAAACTGATTCAAAAATCAAGCAGGAAATTTTTAGTCCCAAGATCTGAAATTAACAGACAGACAAATTTCACTAGTGGGTGAAACTTACGCAAATAATTATAAAAAAACTTAACCAAAATTCTTCTTGACACAGATGTTTTAATTCTTTAAATAAAAAAAATGGTTATTGTCTAAAAATTTGGACCTAATATAGCTACAGCTAATAATTAATGTCTTGGATCAGGCGAAAAAGGGTTCTTTTTTGTGAATAAAGAATTTATTTCATAAAAAAAAAAAATGAAAATCTTACAAATTTTCCGACCATCATTTTTTTTTAAAATAAAATATAACAAAAAAATGATAAAAAAATTTAAAATAAAAATAAATTTTCTAGGACTTTTTTTCAGTGTTCCATGCTAAATTTTTGACAGAATAAAATTTATTTGCCACGTCATTATCATACAATATCCTTGAAATATCGTTCTTTAATAACAACAGTTATCACTTCTACTATCGAATTAAAACATGAATATTCCTAGAAGAAACACACATTTTCTGTCTCTTGAATAATAAAAGCGTGGCCATGCTTAATCTCAGTTTAACTGGCTACCTTTTTACCTTAACATCAAAAATCGTCCAGAACAAGAACTAAATAATCCCAAGAATTAAGCTTAAAACAAAAACACGTTCCTTCAATTCCTTCTTGAATAAAGAAAATTAATTCAAAGCTAAATCTAAAACTAAGAGAAGAATGTTCTTTTATAAACAATACTCACGTGTTAATATTATAACATAAAAACACAATTTCCTATACAGATAAAGATCAACTCGCTATCAGCACCTATCAATGTTAAGGAACACAATGGAATGTTTGAAGGATAATTTCCTGATCAATGAGCGAAATATTGGTTTTCCCTAGTTACCACTAACAATACTGTAGTCACAGACTTTGTAAAGTTGCACTCTGAAATAGTCTGAATTCCAGACCCTACGCCCACGTAAAAATTTGATAATCATCGTGGTTTTAAACGGTATTATAATCGGGAATACAGACAAGTGCAGAACGAAATACGCCTATAAGGAAGGGCACAGCATTGTATAATGCAAGGAGTGTAATTTTGTCAAAAAAGGGAAAGTCACATGATTGAATAACAAAATTTAAAAACCCCATTCTTGGTAGTTTAGTCTCCAATCTTCAGCTTTTAAAATGGTTATTGAGACGCCTTTTATGATTTGGGAAGTGCAGAACACCAGTCTTTCATTCCCGGTAGCTTATACCATAACCGGGTTCTGAACTAGCTAATATTAAAGGTATCTTCCTCCGGTTTTTCGTACAGCAGCATCTTGTTGGTGTCATTAGAAATTTCAAATTTCTCTTGACGCATTTTATACATTCTTCGGTGACTTCAGCCTTTGAAAATTTTGATAGGACAGAGAATCGGACTTCCATTTCCAGTACCTGTTATCGTAACCAGGTTCTGAATTATTTAACTCTTTCTTCTTAGAAGTCAGATATAAGATTAATTAGCGACACGCACTGGTTGGCAACCAAACACACAGTAGAACTCTTCCATACATCAAACTGCTAAATATTCTATAGGGACTTCCAATACAATGGCCAGAAAGAATCATAGTTATTCAACACAGGTTCATTATAACCCCTAGACAATGGTAGCGTAAACGATTATATGATCTAACCTATCATAAGATGACTCCCTTCTGGAATAATTCTTTGTCCTCGGTAGGAACACCATGAGATGAAATGGGAATAAACAAATTAAGCATTTATTAGCCTTATTAAAAATGGTAAAGATTCTGATTAGGCAATTGTTCAGAACCAGATTCCGTAGATACCAAAATTTTCAAGGTCAATTTCAAATGAGTTTCACCTCAGTACTAATATAGACTACATCGCAAACAGTGGCGGCGTCAGTCGTCTGAGGCTGGGGGTACGAATAAGGAGCAGATTGACTTAACTGGTTAGTTTTAGATTCATAAAGCGGAAGCTCTGTGGAAGCCCCAAAATGTGCGAACCTAACATGGAGCGTCTGGTAAAATCAAAACTTAAAATTGATTTGATGGATTCTGACAAATAATTTAAAGCAAAAACGTATAAAAGTGATATTTTCAAATTAGTTTGAACTCAAGTGGGAGAACACTTGGGTGTACAAATCATTTTGCTATCCGCATTGGAGTCGCCGCTGTTTGAAAACTACATCAAAAGTATGAATGGTTAAACAGGAAGAGTTGATACTGAAAATTAATGATGTTACATATGCATGGCTTGTAGTACAGATTATATAGTTAGACTATATCTCTTCGAGCTTCACTTAAAATAAACAAAGACCCAACAATCGATACTTTGCCGACTTAAAATAAAACGAAAACTTAAGAGACATCACATTGAAACCAAGCATTAACTAATCAAAAGTGTTGCGTTTAACCAGAATAATAGCCAAACAGTTTTTGGTGCGGCTCTGCATTAAACTATCGTGATGAATTATTTTCCGGAATCGAATAATACTCGTCCGAGTCCAACCGGTTTGTAAATTCTCACATGTTCAATATAACACACTGAGAATATCACAAAATAAACTTGTAAACAAATATATTTGTCTGAAGTAAGACGAAGTTAAGTGATCTTTACTGTATTGACCCGTCATATAGACAATAGATAGCTATATATTACCAATAAGTCTTTTTACAGCGGTCAGTTATTATGATAAGAATATTATTCTTTCTATGAATCGATGGCAATACTTTTTTGACCAAATTTTCATACTATATTGTCATAGTCTAAAAAAATATTTCAGTCGACCTTGCCAAGAAAATGCCATTTAAACTATTAATGATCTTCGAAAACATGAAAGAATTATTGGAAAACAGTCTACGTTTATCAAAATCAAGCAACAATATGAAAAACTCAAAAAGATCTCAAATAGATATCAATATCTCAATATAGATCCTTATTTCCACATCAATTATCACAAAACTTGAGTGGAATGACCGAAATATTACAAAATGTTAAAATATTTTTTCCATTCAAAACATTTCTTATCGATTCAATATTTTAACATCAAATCCAGAAATGGCCTGGCAAGGATATTTTAGGGTAGCCTATACACATACATCACATTAGACATAGAGAATATACGCGTGGTTTGGGATCAGCGACTTTTTTCGGATCTCAATTACACGTGTATTTAAAAGAGAACACCGAAATCTGATTGTACCAAATACTAACTGAGTTATTATAACAAATAGAACTCGTGATAAAAGGATAGATCGTTTGAATTTGGCAACTCACCTGTGAAACATTGGTACCGGAAGTGGATACAGTTTCAGTTCCGGGTTCTTCATCAGTTTCCGGTACAGAAGGAAGAGACAATCTCTTGCTGTTAGAATCTTCTCTCTTCATACCTTTTGATGATCTGCGTTGATGCCTAGTTTCTCCAGAGACTTCGGGCTCAACCCTAGAATTTGTTCCGCCCATTACTTCTCTGAAAGGTGCAACACAGAAATAAAAAAATAATTTGAAGAAAGCAAGGGAGAATAATGCTCAATATGTAAAAGGCAAGCCAGGATTATAATTATTATGTAGGAAACTTGTGGAAATCATAACAAATAACTATTTGAAAGGAGCAAGAGAGAATTGAAACTAATCTGAAAGGAGCAAGCGGGAATTGAAACTAATCTGAAAGGAGCTAGAGAGAAGATGAACTAATCTGAACGAAGCTAGTAAAAGGGAATCATAACTAATCTGAAAAGAAGCTAGTGAGAAAAATCAAATAATCTGTAAGGAGATATCAAGAGGGAATCGTAACTAATCTGAAAGGAGCGTTAAGGAATCATTACATAAAATAACCAGTCTGAGAGGGGCTAGATAAGAATAAAAAACTAATCTGAAAAGAGCAAGAGAGAAAAATGAACTAATCTGAAAGGAGCTAGAGAAAAAAAAGAACTATTCTGAAAGGAGGAAGAGGGAATCGTAACTAATTTAAAAGGAGCTAGAGAGAAAAAAGAACTAATCTGAAAGGAGCTAGAGAGAAAAAAGAACTAATCTGACAGGAGCAAGAGAGGACAATAACTAATCTGAAAGGACAGTATAATAACTACATTATGCTGCGTTGTCTGAACAATTGCAACAAAGTTTAATTCTATGT